ATCAGCTATGCATGGACAGTTCGTTCAACGCTCTGTCGTAACGCATGACGTATGACGCTTATCGTCACCGTGTGACCGCCGTGACGGGCCGTCGCCACGTTACTGTCGTGACGGGCCGTCGCCACGTTACTGTCGTGACGGGCCGTCGCCACGTTACTGCCGTGACGGGCCGTCGCCACGTTACTGTCGTGACGGGCCGTCGCCACGTTACTGCCGTGACGGGTCGTCGCCACGTTACTGTCGTGACGGGCCGTCGCCACGTTACTGCCGTGATGGGCCGTCGCCACGTTACTGCCGTGACGGGCCGTCGCCACGTTACTGCCGTGACGGGCCGTCGCCACGTTACTGCCGTGACGGGCCGTCGCCACGTTACTGCCGTGATGGGCCGTCGCCACGTTACTGCCGTGATGGGCCGTCGCCACGTTACTGCCGTGATGGGCCGTCGCCACGTTACTGCCGTGACGGGCCGTCGCCACGTTACTGCCGTGACGGGCCGTCGCCACGTTACTGCCGTGATGGGCCGTCGCCACGTTACTGCCGTGATGGGCCGTCGCCACGTTACTGCCGTGATGGGCCGTCGCCACGTTACTGCCGTGATGGGCCGTCGCCACGTTACTGCCGTGATGGGCCGTCGCCACGTTACTGCCGTGATGGGCCGTCGCCATGTGACCGCCGTGATGGGTCGTCACCATGTGACCGCCGTGATGGGTCATCACTATGTGACTGCCGAGGCGGCTCCCGGTACGTCCCCGCCATGCCGCCACCAATGGCTGGGTGGCAGCTGATGGCGCGTGCCGGTCTGCCGCAGATGCACATTATGCAGAGTCTGGTGCAGGGCTCGAGGACGCGGACCAAGGGTCTGCTGGGCAACAACCGGCGGCCGCTGCAGCCGCTGTATGGCCGGCCCGTGCGCACCAACATCAACTTCGCCGGCGGCCGACAGGTGGCGTCGGCGCCGGCGGCCCAGCGCTCCCATTGGGATGGGCGCAGGGGTGTCGATTCGCATTGTTTTCTGAGACCATTGCTCATTCCTCTCCCCCACCCTCCCCCACCCCGCTCCCTTGATGTGGATTTGGCCACCTGTGTCCTACCATGGGCCTCCGTAGTTTTTGTTGGAATATCACAAAATTCGAGAACAATTTCAACATCACACAAAGCCTACCATTACTCAACCACTATCATTATCCACCATCATGAAAGATTGCGTAAGTATCACCTGAATGCTGTAACTCTTGTGCTGCTCTCATAAATAACCATTTCATGAATTACGCACAGCAGCTAGTGAAAACTGGCGTTAGCAAAAAGTAAGCGGACGAAATTCGTTGGCACATGCTAATGGGAGAGGTTAGGTTGTCGAGCTCAGCATCATATTCACAAATAAAAGTCGTTGGAGTGCTGTATGGATAATATATCAGACATTTCATTGGTTAAGATCGTTCTTGCACGGTACTGAGAGAGGCAGAGCGTGCAATTGTCAGCAGACTGTGCGATAACCATGGGAACCACTCGTGCTAAGAAAGGCAAGCATTCGTACCAGTAAGATGTTTCACGTCTCAACGTTCCTTCCACCGTGCCGTCTTGTCTTCAACGCTGTGGGACGTCAGTTTATGGTTTACCGGGTAGTGCCTTAACATGTCTTTTGTTTTCAGAACATATGCTCCTCCATGCGACACGACATGTTTTACAAGGGTAAGGACGGCGTAAAAACGAAATGCACTGTTAATTCGTTCACGCAGAATAGCTAAATTGTCTTTACGTGTTTTTTTTGTTCAAGACGTCTTCAAAATGTCTAAATGTGTCTTATCGTTGACATGTGCGTTAAGCACGCGTCTGCAAGTCTCACAGAGAAGGTTCACTCGTACATGGCTTCACGGCAGGGAGAAATCCACGGGATATCTATGCAGAATAAATAACGGGCGGGTGGGGTGAACAAAAACGGTGGCTATGAGCTTGGGTACAGATAAGGATGCTCACAAATGTCAGGCGTATCTTCTTACAAATGACACGGAGTGCTACTCATTGAGTTATATTTCAGGCATAGCTGGATCCACGTGACTTGCGATCATGAGAGCTAAGATAATGCGTGTACGTGTCAAGCATCCCAATATTTAAAAAAAATATAACCGGCACATTGAAACCTTCACGGGGATGGGGGAGGGGGATGGGGGAGGGGGATGGGGGAGGGGGATGGAGGCTAGCGGGTGACTAGGACTGATAAGACATTGGTCGTGATCCCATACAAAACACACGTGGTCTGGCCACACAGATACAGACCACACGTGGTCTGGCCACACATGGTCGGATGCAGACCATATGGCAGCGGACCGACCAGGTGGAAAAATGCAACCGTAAAGGACCTTCGTCAGCGGGGCTGTTGAAGTGTCCCCCTCGCTGCCGGCGGCCTGGTCGGTCACACGAGACGTCAGCGGCGCTGATGAAGTGTCCCCCTCGCCGCCGGCGGCCTGGTCGGTCACACGAGACGTCAGCGGCGCTGATGAAGTGTCCCCCTCGCCGCCGGCGGCCTGGTCGGTCACACGAGACGTCAGCGGCGCTGATGAAGTGTCCCCCTCGCTGCCGGCGGCCTGGTCGGTCACACGAGACGTCAGCGGCGCTGATGAAGTGTCCCCCTCGCCGCCGGCGGCCTGGTCGGTCACACGAGACGTCAGCGGCGCTGATGAAGTGTCCCCCTCGCCGCCGGCGGCCTGGTCGGTCACACGAGACGTCAGCGGGGCTGATGAAGTGTCCCCCTCGCCGCCGGCGGCCTGGTCGGTCACACGAGACGTCAGCGGGGCTGATGAAGTGTCCCCCTCGCCGCCGGCGGCCTGGTCGGTCACACGAGACGTCAGCGGCGCTGATGAAGTGTCCCCCCTCGCCGCCGGCGGCCTGGTCGGTCACACGAGACGTCAGCGGCGCTGATGAAGTGTCCCCCTCGCCGCCGGCGGCCTGGTCGGTCACACGAGACGTCAGCGGCGCTGATGAAGTGTCCCCCTCGCCGCCGGCGGCCTGGTCGGTCACACGAGACGTCAGCGGCGCTGATGAAGTGTCCCCTCGCCGCCGGCGGCCTGGTCGGTCACACGAGACGTCAGCGGCGCTGATGAAGTGTCCCCCTCGCCGCGGCCGGCCTGGTCGGTCACACGAGGACGTCAGCGGCGCTGATGAAGTGTCCCCCCTCGCCGCCGGTGGCCCTGGTCGGTACACACGAGACGTCAGCGGGCTGATGACAGTGTCCCCCTCGCCGCCGGCGGCCTAGTCGGTCACACGAGACGTCAGCGGCGCTGATGAAGTGTCCCCCTCGCCGCCGGCGGCCTGGTCGTCACACGAGACGTCAGCGGGGCCGCCTGTGTTTCAGCCTCCTGGCCTGGTCTTCCGCGTAACGGCGGTGTTGCGGATGGGAAGCGGCGCCCTCGGGTTAGGACAGCAGACGCTCACCTCCCGCTCGACTAGGGAATGTCGAGATCTCCGGCGGAGGCCGTCTAGTGTACTCTGTAACACTGCCTCGCGCATCATGCACGCTTGGGTAACAGTGCGCGCTTGATCGACGATTCGGAACACATGTTTCTAGACGCGTATTCAAGGGCATAGTGTTCGGTTATCTGTTGCCCTTTGGCTGTGGAGCAAGGACCGCGAGGGCTTCTTTGTTGGAAGTCGGTTTGGAGAGTCGCCACAGACCGACCCATCCCTCGCCACAACAGTGGCCGCCTGATGCAGCTCGACCCCGTGAGTAAGCATCTCATCATCTGCTCGAGTAAACACTCAGCACACTTCTGGTATAATAAACGCGGCGGGTCAGTTGTCAAGTGAGTGGCATAAGGCTTGTGAAGGGTCATAAATCAGACACTCAGACACTAACTTGAATGTTTTCCACACGCACAACTGTCCGTGTCTCGTAATCAGAAATTGGCGACACACGAGCGTATCAGCTTGCACATCACCCTCCAGCGGCGAGGCAGATCTGGGAGTGTCCCCAAACAACACACTGGGCATTTCAGGACATATTCGCTCATCCCGCAACACGACACGGAAGTACGTGCAGAGGATTTTCAAGATGCTTTACCGTAACGACTTCTTAGGGGCGAAAATGGTGGACATAGATCTACAGTTGGTGAAGATGCATAATACCGGAAGCCGCAAAGCTACAGCCCAGAGCCTTTCCCTTCACTATGGGGGCCGCCATGATGTGATGACGGCACGATCGACTGAACGACGGACTTCGCCTCCCGAACCCAGCCACTTTCGACAGAAAGCGTGCCAGTTCCGTCAGTGCTTGTGACGTCACATTGCGCGACATAAGCGAGCGTCGTTAAGCGCGAGGTGCTAGTCCCGTCACTAACGGGATGTCTGACGGACTGACGCCAATGGTCTCGACCAGTGTTAGATGTGAAATTTACGCATGCATTGAACACAAAGCTTTCAAGAATAGCTTCGAAGCGCATTTCATTCAAAGTGCACTTCTTCACTTTCCTTGTACTGCAAATTAAGTCCTTCATCTAGCGTTGGCCTTTCACGTCCATGTCGGGCGCAAGTTGTGTTTCGAAAGGGCTCCGGTTCGTTGCCGGGTTATGGCTTGCCATGTTTTTAAACCGCCAGTCGACATCATCTGACCATCCTAACCTGCTGGCGATTCAGCTGGCGGAGCGTTAAGGCAGACTATGGAAGAAGTCACCGCGTTCTCATGAATGCTTCTAATCTTTGACACATCTCATGTCACTTCATCCCTCACGTATGCGCAAGCTTCAAGGATTGAAACTGAGAGCGCACACACGCGGCAGCCGATCCCCTCCCCGCTGGAACCAAGGTCACGTCACAAATACGAAGGGTTCGCCCTTTGGCATATATTTACCTAAGCCATATAAACATCAAACTTTAAATAGTTGTACGCAGACGACATCCAAACTTAGTCCCAGAAGAACATACCCTCATCTTCTCTGGGGAGATCACTGAAGAACTCGGAAGCAGCCTTCACCTTGGAGGAGGGCAGCAGCTTCTTGGCGTCTCCGCGCTTGCCCCGCTCCTGCCACTCCATGTGCTTCGTCTCGAAGCGCTTCTCGTAGAGGTAGCCGATGTCCCAGAAGCGCACGAGCCGGTCATGTGAGCACGAGGCCAGCATGCGGCCGTCGCGGGAGAGCGCCAGCGCCTCCACGGGCAGCCGCCGGTGCTGGCCCACTACGCCGAAGTACTTGTACGGCAGGATGTTGCACGCCCTGGCGGCGGGAGAGCGGTGCGCCGTTGACGCCGCAACATGACAGGGCGGCGGGGGAACAGCAGGCGGAAAAAGACGAGGCCAATAGGTGAGAGAAGACGTCTGACATGACCTGACACCATGCCATCACCGGACCACAGGGGACCACCGCCGCTCCGGCGGCCGAAGCCCCGCCGTTCCACTCACCGAATCTGGCCGTCGTCATAGGCCATCACCAACAGCGAGTCGGTGGCAGCCACCATAGCGTTGATCGACGACGGGTGTCCTTTGAACACATTCACCTGGGAATACGCGGACCAGAGTCAGTCTGGCGACGACTGTCGGTAACACTGCAGCAACAAATCACCGTATTAGCACACTGAACAAACACTCAGCATGGAGTATGAACATTACTGAGATTTATAACCCAGCCGAGAAGAGGGGGGGGGGGGGGTAGGTAGCAAGCGCGAGCACTCACGCAAGGCAGCCGTCGTCGTGGGGTCGGTTTGATAACCTTACTAAACCGACCTCAGGACGACGGCCGCTTTGCACAGGTGCACGTGAACAACGTGAGGTGCAAAGAAACTACCGACTAAGGACTCATCGCGCCATCGGAGCGCGAAACAGCGAGGCATTATAACGCGTCCAAATGCCAAAGCATTCATAAAATCAGTAAAGAATGCCAGTTGGACATGTTTATGATCGGCAATGAAGGCGCAAACTAAGCGTCCTGTGAAACAATGGGTCGCGCAGAAATAGTAGTACCGATTGTTCAGATTTACGACAGGTGGCTGCACAATTCTCTAGCGCATTGCACGCCTATACGGCACACTTACGTGCTCTCCAAAGTGTCCCCACTTGAAGATAGGCACCTTTCCCTGGTCGGAAGCCATGCCTACGGCCAGCTTCTTCTGCTCCTTGATGAACGTCATGCACGTGAGTGGAGCCTCGTACATGTCACACTGCCGACCGCCAGGGGGAGGCCTTATCACCGTTATCACCCTCCAGACGAACGAGGGCCGTGGATGCTTTGTCATGGAAATCAGGTGTCGGTAGAGATGGCCAACGAAACACACGTGTACATGCTCATAGCAGTTGAAGCCCGGTGGCCAGCAGGAACGGCAGATCACCCGACACCGTCCCCCCTGGCACGGACCAGCTCGCTCCCACCGAGCACGGTGGCCAGCAGGAACGGCAGATCACCCGACACCGTCCCCCCTGGCACGGACAAGCTCGCTCCCACCGAGCACGGTGGCCAGCAGAAACGGCAGATCACCCGACACCGTCCCCCTGGCACGGACAAGCTCGCTCCCACCGAGCACGGTGGCCAGCAGGAACGGCAGATCGCCCGACACCGTCCCCCTGGCAGGGACAAGCTCGCTCCCACCGAGCACGGTGGCCAGCAGGAACGGCAGATCGCCCGACACCGTCCCCCCTGGCACGGACAAGCTCGCTCCCACCGCTGAGAGGGCACGCCCAGGTCGACTCATCGTAAGCGGTCGCGTCTGCTTGCTGTCAGCAGCGCTGGCCACCGCGGAGCTCACCGGTGGGTGGCGCGCAGGACGCGGTCGTACCTGGGTGTGGACCCGGCGGGTGCGGAGACTGAAGGAGGTGATGGTACCCTCGCCGGAGGAGGCCACCAGCCAGCGCTGGTCGTCGTCGCAGATCAGGTCACTGATGTAGTCCTCACACTGTTTGACGCTCATCACTTCAGCCCGGGTCCGGTAGTCCCACACTGGTGCAAGGGAAGACGGCATCAGCACCGAGGCCCGGGTCCGGTAGTCCCACACTGGTGCAAGGGAAGACGGCATCAGCACCGAGGCCTCGCAGCGCGATGCCACGACCATGTTACAGAAGCAGACTGCGTGCAGCGAGTGGTTCCAGCGGATTGAAGGTAAGGTTGAATGAATTTAGAGGACAAATGGATGATGGTAATGATGATGATGACGATGATGATGATGATGGTGGTGATGATGATTCGGGATTTAGGGCGCGCTGACTACCCTGATGATATGGCGCCCATAGCTTGCCTCTTATTCAACAGATGAGTGGTAGAGGTAAGGAGACAAGGCTACATCAGATATATGGCATTATGAAATATTCGGGAACACACGGATCCATCTATATATATATATATATATATATATATATATATATATATATATATATATATATATATATATATATACAATAGGTGGTTGGTCAGATTGCGTCGGTAAGGCCACTCCATTTTGACAGCATGCACACTCCAACGAAATCTTCCTACGCGATTGCACAAAACTACTATTGAAATAGCACGACAGCTAAACATTATACGATACAAGCCGACCGAGCAGCTCCTTCCGCCTGCCCTGCCGGCGCCGTCTGCCCCTCCAGCCCTGCCGGCCCCCGCCGGTGCCGCGCTGGCCGGCGGGGGCCGGACGCCGGGAGCTCGCCGCCCAGCTCACGTTTGACGGTGCCGTCGTCGTCACCGGAGGCCATCAGCCGCTCAGTGAGAGGCAGCACGCTGAAGACGCCGGCCGGGTGGGCGGCCGGCAGGCGCCGCTTCAGCGCGCCCGTCTCCATGCTGTGTATGCGCAGGGAGCCATCCGCCCAACCGGAGAACAGCAGGCCGCCGTCGCCCGAGAACTCGAGCCCGCGGCACGTGGACTTGCAGGTGGGCAGGGTCAGCGCCAGGTCACTGCGCTCACTGCTGTAGTTGTGCCTGCGTGAGCAGTGGTAACAGGGCTTCAGTCATGGCACTTGCGGCTAGATATGAAAAACAATCCTTTGGTAGCATCAGCATGCAAATGTTTTCAATCATGCAGCAAACTAGACAACGACCACGCGAAGCGAGGGATTTAAGCCAATGTGGCATGTTTTAGGTAGGATGGCCACGACCTGGTGTCAAGTGTCAAGGTGACCTGACACTACTCAAGACGTTCGGACCATTTCCACATCAAATATTTTACGCTAGATCATGACCGCCGATACCTACTCAGAACAGTGCATTGTGACAACTGCCAAATTGTAGTTTGTTCAGGAAGTAGTACACCGTCGAACTAGACACTCATTCTGCAACACATGCAAAGGACTGCTTAGTTGGCAACTAACCATACACAGCATGAAGCCTGGGGAGGTCAACGTCATGGGGGTCCTGTTGAGACATGTAGTGCTTCACCACTGGTCATGCAGACGCAGAACATGGACGCCTCCTTCTAATCAGTTCAATGACCTTCGCCAGGTCCTGGTCTTCTTGTTGAGCCAATCTTAATTCAAAAGTCACCATTTCACGTTGTTGCCCGCACCTCTGTCGCGTATTGTCCTTGGCCGTCATCTACATGGCCGCAGGACAGGGCATTTGCATACATAAGGTTGGATCCTGGTCGGTACTGGAACTCATAGTCCAGCGCTTCCAACTCCAGAATCCACCGCGGCAGCTTGCCTCTGAGATTCTTGCTCCGTCGGAGATGAGCTAAAGGATTGTGGTCAGTCCGCAGTATGAAGTGCTGCCCATGCAGATACACCCGGAACCGACAACTAGCCTAAACGAGGGCGAGACACTCTCGCTCAGTTGCAAAGTATCTCCTCTGTGCCCTAGTCAGACTGCGACTAGCATATGCCCCAACACGTGCTATTTTCCTCTTGGGTCAGCACCGCCCCCAGGCCTACATCGCTGGCGTCCGTTGTCAACGTGAACGGCTCCAGGAAGTTCGGGTACCACAACACCGGAGAAGAGTTTTTTCAACATCGCAAAAGCCACAGCGCACTCTTCTGTCCCTTTGAAGCAAGAGACACCCTCTGGAAGTCGATGCCGAGGCCTTGCCAGGTGGGCAAACTATGGAATAAAGCGTCGGAAGTACGAGGCTAATCCCAAGAACTTACGCGCTCCCCTCATGGGCGATGGGGCTGGAAAGTGCTGCACCGCAGACGCTTCCAAGGGATCCGCAGACACGTCTTTCCCACTGACTACACGCCCGAGGAACTGAGCCTCCCTCCGAAACAACCTACACTTTCTCGGATCCAGCGTCAGTGTTGCTGCTCGCAACGCCCCTAAAACAATCGCCGATCTCTCCAAATTTTCAGAGAACGTTCTTCCGAATGTGATTATATCGTCGAGATACACAAGACAGATGTTCCAAACGAGACCCGCTAGTGTTTCCACCATCAGCCGCTGGAACGATGCCGGCGCCCCCTTCAAGGAATGGATGTCACGTTAAATTCGAACAGTCCTTTGTGCGTTGCAAAAACAATCTTGCATTTATCCTCCTCCTTGAGCTCCTGCTGCAAATACCCACTTTTCAGATCCATGACATGGAACCACTTGGCCCCGGACAGGGCGCCAACAGTTATCGATTCAGGGCAGTGGAAAAGCGTCACTCGTGGTATCCGCGTTCAGTCTACGGTAGTCGATACAAAATCGAATCGTCCCATCTTTCTTCTGCACCGGAACTACACTTGCTGCGTATGGGGACACACTTGGCCTGGTGACGTCACGTTCGAGCATGTCGTCCACCATTTCATCCATTTGCTTTCGCATGCGATGATCCACTCGCCCCGGCTGCATGGACCTCGGCGGCGCAGCACCCGTCCGAACTTCATGCCGAACGACGCCTGACCTTTCAAGTGTTCCATCGGTGGGAAGCCGGTCCAGGTACGCAGTCAGGAGCATCGCGATCTTCTCTTTTTTCTCTTCCAATCTCGCCTTCCCTTCCTGTTGATTCTTTTGGGCGACGTTACGAACAACGTGGGGTGGCGAGGACTCATGCACCGCCGCCACCTGTTCAACATGTCCGACGGTTGTTCCTTTGTATAATTTGATGCTTCCCTCACCTGGATTCACAAACCTCAGGCTCACCTGATGCTTGTCTCCAACAGTGTTCAGCACATAAGCATCTACAATCTGGTGCTTATCTTCAAGCGTCCCATCAGGAGTGTACATTACGCATGCTCCGGCTGGCTGGTCCAGAGCCGCGTTCCCCTTCGTGACGATCTCGTGTCGACCTGGTACGACAATATCGCATGACAGTGTTACCCTGCCACAACGGAGAGCTGCCACAGCTTCAACCTGCATCTCATCACTAATGAGGCAAGCTTTTCCGAACCTACAGACGCCTTTCTGGAGACCCAGTCAATTGAAACGGTGGCCCCCAGCCTTCTCATGACATCAGTGCCCAGCGAACACTGCGTGGTCATTGCTGACACAACAAACACAGGATGTTGTGTGAAAGAGCAGAGGCGCCCACGTGAAGATCCGCCAACACCAATGCCTGGAACAACAAGGGCTTACCATCGATTTTAACAGGCTGCTGGCGCACCACGCAGGGTGCTAAGTCGCAAACGCCCGGGACTGCCGAGCTGACTGATATACACTCAGCTCCTGTCTTTAACAACCATGTCACAGGCTGCCCCTGTACTAACTCTCCAACATACACAGCCTTTAAATTGTTGTTGGGAACAGTGGTTGCGCCCACAACAGCTCCCCCATCGCGCGCATAACTGCACAATCCCTGGACCACATCGTTACTGGGCCTCGCACCTGGAACCGAACAGTGGCCCTCTTCTCCGGCTCTCACCGAAAACCCATCTGAGCTTGGCAGTTATGCGCATCATGGCCGGGCTGTCCACGTCGGTAGAGCGGATCACCACGCCCCCACGCTAGGCCACCAGTCTCTGGCCAAGTGAGCGCGGCTACCAAAATGGTAATAGGCACCATCAGGAACAGCTATTCCTCCCCGACCTCCATGTTCAGTGCACTCGCCTGCTCGGTAAGCACCTCAACCGCGCACTCCGTGATGAACACCCCCAAAGGTCAACCTGCCAACGCTCGCCTGAAGTTCTGCCATCGGGGCTGCCACCGCCTTGACCTGGTCGCGGAGCTCCGCCACCTACTCCACTTCAGCAGACCCCGCCTCCAACCTCCTCGCCGGTGAAGAAGTCGGAGCCGAAGGTGCGACGACGGCGGCGACGACGCCCGTCTAATCCATTGATGAATTGGGCCTTGACAACGCCTTCTCGAGGGTCAGATGCCCATTCTGGGTAAACCCGTTCTGCCAGTTGCTGTAACTCATACACATATTCAGCAGTTGACTGTCCCTGCTATCATTGGTACAACCTCAACTGCAGTGCATAATCACTTTGCAAGCCAGGCAAGTGAAACTCGGACATCAGCGATTTTCGCAACTCTGTATATGTGCTTTTGCAGTCATCTGGCAAGCGCATGAAGCAATCACATGCCATGTCAGACAGTGACACCGATAACTGATCCAGTTTGGTGATCTCATCAGTCCAGCCATTAACTAGTGTACACTGCTAAAACTTGTGAAGAAAACACCTGACATTGTCCCTCCCATCAGTCTCTTAGTCTAACCACTTTGCCAGCAGATGCTATGATGGATGACTTGAACTCTTCCTGAATTGTTGGCTTAATGTCCTCTTCAAATGTTGTCTTTGGCATCAGGTCTGGCCACCACTGCCACCATTGTGACAACTGCCCGACTGCAGTTTATTCAGGAAGTAGTGCACTGTCAAACTAGACACTCATTCTGCAGCACCTGCAAAGGACTCATTAGCTGACCACCAGCCATGCCCAGCATGCAGCCTTGGGAGCTAGCATAAGGGCATGCACCAAGCAGCAATGACAGCATCCATGACCACATGCACCACACAACCACCATGCAAGCCAATACTGCATGCGACATCAACAGCACATACACAGTCACCAGGGCATGCACATGCAACATGTCACAGTATAAAGCTCCATGGCCAAGAAACACACTTGTTTAATGTCTGTTGCCCTCATTTGCTTCCAAAATCAGCGCTGGCAGCTAAGACGATAGTATCAGGTGAATTGTTAGATGTTGAGCATAACTGATGTTGATGTTGAGCTTGATGTTGATGCATAACTGATGAATTGTTAGATGTTGACCAATGATGACCATAACTAAAGATCAAATGACTGAGGGCAGACTGGTTCTCTCTGCCATGGGACCCTCTACAAAAAATTATGCTATTCTTACAGTGCTATTCTGCCATCAACAGTGGCAACCACGAGCCTGTCTGCTTGCGGGTGGAATTTTAAGTTCAACACATCACAGCGGTGTTTTAAGTCTGGTGGAGCTGTTCGCTGAGGTAGTTTTGTATTGTATCCCCAGATTTCTTCAGGTTTTGCTGCTTCTTCCTCTTCTTCAGAGCTATCAGAAGTGCATGGATCAGGCACTGGCTCTTGCACCTTAACAGTGCCATTATCTAGCTTCAGCCGTTTGCTCATCTCTCCAACGATGCACACCTGTAATAAGACATGTTAAATAACATGGTTAGAAGCCTTTGATACAGAGTTAAAAAAGAGTAGATGCAAATTTAGTGCTACAAAAATTGGGAAACATCACAATACAGCAATACAGAGCAGCAGAAGTAACAATATGTGGGCATAAGTATATACCTTTAGGAATGATAAATACTGATGAGTTTTTTCAAAAACTTTGGTGGGAAATTGCATTGGTTCTTGGGAAAATGAGAAAATGATCATCATGTCAACGGAAGTTGGCGTCGCCTAACCCTGTCATCGTGATTCCCCCATCTCCGCCCCACCCTACCTCTGATTATGTAGCTTATTGATCAGGGGCCTAACTGCAGGCACCCGCGGGTTCCATCTGAGGTTTGAATACAATCACGCCGACTGGTTTACAGCCTTTCCTAATGTCCAGAACACACAGGTCCCCTCGCCGCTCAACCACGCTTCCCCAAACACGTGTACGAAAGGGACGGTTGCATGTCGTTTACCCTAAAAATACCCCAATCCTATCATGTGTCCACTACTGCCTATGTGGCAGTTTTTGGGAGCAAATAAATCACTGAATGGGTCTTTTGTGTAAAAGCTGCTACCACTAACTCAAAAAAAGTTATCGAACACAACTTGTAATAAGTTTGTCGCTTTCAAGCCACAAAGGCTCCTGGTGCGATAAATAGTAGTACACTTTTAGGTTGGGGCGGGGGCGATTCTGTTTAATGTACGTGTTGTTTTGTTGCATGTGATTGCCTGTTGGTAGGCGCTTAATGGGCTGAAATGATAGTCTCTAACATTTGCCGGTGGGGTGCAATCCGTAGGCATGATGCCATTTGCAATGTATTTTGGCGGACAGACACACGAAAATCTTTGTCCTTTTCTGCTGTTCGACTGGATGCCAGTTTTCCGCTCCTGAAGGTTGATGTCGATTGCACTGATCAGGCATATCAGCAGGCTGCAGCAACAGGCTTGAAGTCCATTGAGCAACTTGACAAGATCATGACAGTGCTTGCAAATGGAGGTTGGTGCTTGCTCGTAAACATTGTGGTGTTGAGTTATAAACGTGCCAATTTACAATCGGCAGACTTGTCCCTTCTGATAAAATGCATTTCATAAAAATTGATGTATTTTTTCTTATGGTATTCAATGTGGACTAGACACATTGACAAATGAGGACCAATGGCACGGAACCAAGACACTTTGGTCTCGGATGTCCTACTTTAGAACCAGTTATGCATTGGTTCTCCAATGACCAAAGGTGGAAAATCTGTGGTTGTGCTGACATCACTACATATTTTTAAGACATTTATACTTTAAGTTAAATGATTCAAACTTTTTTGACTTGTTAACATCTTCAGCCTCTTTTGTTCAGGTGGAGAGAAGGCCAGACAACGCCACACTCAGCTCAACAAGAAGATGCTTGTATGGGACAGGATTGCCCGTTTAGTGGACCCCAATACAGAGCTGATCAACCTCGCTCCTCTGGCTGGCCTCTCCCTGGAGTATGGAGATGTACCCTATGGGGGTGCAGTTTGTGGTAAGATGGCACCATTTGGTCAGAATAGTCAGTGCCCCTAAAAAACAGACTATCATGGCAAAAAATAGAGTGACTAATCCCATTCATAAACTGGTGTTATAGAGGAATTTAGAGTAAGCCACTAACTGAGCTTGTAATGCCAATGGCTATTACTTCTGGTAGCCTGATTTTAGGGCAATTTTGATTAAGTCTGGCCTTAGACATTTTCTTGATGTGACATCATCTTTTCATATTGTTTGGGATATTCAGTCTTGTTAAGCAGTGTGTGTGGGCATTGATTGAAATGAATGGTAAGCAATTGCATGACATGTTTTACAAGCATTATGTACATTCATCCAGACATGATGGGGCTGAAATCAATCTTGTAAGGTATTGCTGATAAGGTCTATTTTGATATATTTGATATATTTGATATATTTGATAGAGCTTCTACCTGATGCTCATTGTCACTGCATAAAAGTACCATTTCTTTGTATTTGTGCATTCAATGATGCTGCTTGCAGTCATTGCCAAGGTGAAGGGGCGGTACTGCGTGATCAACGCCAATGATGGGACTGTGAAGGGAGGCACCTACTTCCCCATAACAGTCACAAAGTCACTGCGGGCACAGCAGGTAGGTACAAATTATCACCACACATCTGCTAGTCATAAGAAAGCTGGCAGTTTCCCTACAGTGCACTGCTCATGTGCATCTTATGCAATAACGACCATCATTCAGGAAGGTGCTCCAGCACTGCAATGTGTTTGGTTCTGCAACATGCAGTTAAGAACTACAGCACGGATATTGCGTGTGTCGCGAGGGGTCAGTTTCCCGCGCCGCCGCAGACCGTTCTGTAATGCGCGGTTGAGAACTAGAGCAAAGGTATTTCGTGTGTATCGAGGGGCCGGTCTCCGGCGCCACCGCCGCAGACCGTTCTGTAATGTGCGGTTGAGAAATAGAGCACGGGTGTTTCGTGTGTATCGAGGGGCCGCTCTCCGGCGCCACCGCAGACTGATGCGACGTGGTGAGCTGTAGCCCCGACCGAGCGGCGGGCCTCTCCCGGCGCTGGGCCTGGCCATATGCTGGGCGCCGCCGAGTCCAGTTTTGCTATGACGTCACAGACCTGTGCTGCGTCTTATGTTCGAACAGTCAGACCACTGGAGTACGATAGGGGTGTGGGGACGGTCAGCAGCCGCAGAGGCGAGGCCAGGCACGAGACGAGACGCTCCCATACGAGGCAGTGGCTGTCAGCGACGCCTGTGCCGGCCTCTGTCCGGGGCCTGTCGGCCGGCGCGAGCCGTCTGCCTCCCCGGCCGGGCGCTCACCTCGCCTATCCGGCAGATCTCTGCGGCCAGCCGGCTGCCGTCCATCTGTCTGGTGGACAGCGGCGGTGGCTTTCTGCCGCTGCAGAGCCAGCTGTTTCCGGACAAGCAGCACGGCGGCCGCAGCTTCCGCAACCAGGCGGTGCTCTCGGCCGACGGGATCCCGCAGGTGGCGGTCGTCTGCGGCAGCTGCACCGCCGGCGGTCAGTCTCGAGCGCCTCCAGCCGTGGCGCTGGTGTACCGAGCGTGGGTGCCGTCCTCACTGCGCTCAATGTGTGCGCGCCTGGAATTTACATGGTACTTCGGTCCTAATGACATTGGGGGAGGTAACCACCCATCAGCAGTAGTTATTTCCACACTCTGTGTTTGTCTGCATTTCTGTGGGAGGTGATTGGAACTGACGTGCTTCAATCCGACATCTGTTAATTTCTGGCCTTTGTGGTATGGAAGCATTTTGGAAACATGACCTTACCTAAATTTTGTTAAGCTATGTTGAATAAGGTCCATGTCATAAGCATTATTCGCAATGGCTCCTGTTACGTTTATGGTATGTGGTACACACAGTATTTAAGCTATGCCATACATTAAGCATAACTTTGTTTCTCTGCTGTTCCTGTTCCTTTTGTATGAAGATGTGTCTTGTGTGTTGGTCTCATAAGTTGCAATGAATTTCCCTTTGTTTGCACCTGTTTTTTCACACTTCAAACCAGCTTCTCATGGCGGACGCTTGGTTGTAGCCAGAGCTGTCCTCTTGACCGGCACGCGGCCGGTGGTGCGGCAGGTGCGTACGCACCGACCATGTCTGACGAGGCTGTGATGGTGGACCGGATCGGTACGCTATTTCTGGGAGGACCGCCGCTGGTGCGTGCCGCCACTGGCGAACAGGTCACCGAGGAGCAGCTCGGTCAGTGCCCGCGCTCACCAGAGCCAGGTCCTCCTGCTCAGGTCCCCCATGTCTCCCTGGTCTCCCTGCTTATTGAAATGAGATACCCCAACTGAGCTCCGCTACACTGGGGATCAAAGGGTTTGTGTGTGGCTGTGCTCATCACATCTCGAGCGGTGGCAATGTTTTGCTTATCAGCCATTATGTTATTGAACCATGAGTTTTTGAACTTCAACTGAATCATTGAGATTATCTGTGCATGAATGATAAGAGGTAGTACTTCAATTGATATAAAGGCGTTTTTGTTGACTCTCCCCACTGTTAACGATTGGCGTGTTTCTTGGCCGTCACTATCGACCCCCACCGGACTCCGTCGAAGCGCGCGCGCTCACTGGTCCCTGTCCGTCTGTGGCTGCTCTGTGACATCGTCGTCTCGCTCATCATGAGTCTGTGACGCCTCGGTAGCCGTCCGTCCCTGCTCTGCGTGATTGGCTCTGCGGTGCGCAGGTGGCGCCACACTGCACTGCAGCGTGTCCGGCTGCTGCGACATGTTTGCCGCGGACGAGGAGGAGGCGCTCAGCACGACGCGTGACGTCATCGACTCGCTCAACCTGCCTCCGGCCGAGGCGAGCCAACACGAGCCGCCGCTCCTGCCGTCTGCCGGCCTGGACAGTAAGTGGCGCGGCCCGATGAGGATCGCCTGCCTATTGCAGCCTGAGAAGTGAGCTACGCAGCTCAGTGGCAGTGTGCGCCAGGACTCCTGCGCTTTCTGAGCGCAGAACAAGGGATTTGCTTTGATCTGGCTCTGCTGTTTTAGATTGCCTTTTACAGATATGTATATAGTACTCCTTCAAAGAGCTATCCAAACATGCAGCAAAGACCTGTGAGTAATACAGTTATGGACGAGATGTATTTGTATTATATGTATTTGAATCACGATTCGGATATTAAATACGCAACAACACCCAGCACTTGCGCAGGACAGATTTAACCCCCGACCTCAACCGGCCGTCCCTACCTCCAGCCTGCGGCCGCTCCGGTCCACAGACGCGACCTCGGCCAGGTCACGTGGACAATGGCCCGGAGGCATAAACACGGCCGGCCGCGCCGGTTAGCCGCTGACCAGGCCGCGCCCGCGCGGCCGCACGACGCAGTAGCGTGAGCAATAGTAACATATATTATTCAAGAGAATTTAGTGCAGCACGTATTTGTTGTAACGAGCGAAACGTCACGAGATCTCGAGGATATTGCTACTTTTACGTTGTCTTCGGAGGTAACTCTGTTGGCTAAATCGTTGCCAAGAGAAAAGCGCCATCGGACTGCTCTCGTATCGGGCCAAATGAAGAGGCCAAGCACTACATAATAACTGCATGAGGAGAAATCCCTAACAAAATAAATGATGCTGTATAATTCAGGGGAACATGTTGCAACTTCCGACGCATGTTTCAATAACGCAGCATGTTTTCTGCGTGCGCGCAATTCCGATGAATTTGTTCTGACAGCAGGCCCCCCTAATTGGAATTTGTTGAACAAAATAATAGCAAATAAGATGTGTTGTGTGACGAGCTGTTAGTATAACACGCACGATGTCGGTGACGCTTATAGCGCCTTCGTCAAGATACGAGACCGAGAACACTCGTCCCTCACTCGCACATGTACCGTGACGATCGCACACATCGTCACACTGTGCTTCTGTCACATGTATATGTGATGTGTATATGTGAACCGCAGGCTGTGCAGCCAGCGGAGCGCTCGCCGCGCTGTGCCGCTGTACAGCCAGCGAAGCGCTCGCCGTACTGTGCCGCTGTGCAGCCAGCGGAGCGCTCGCCGTACCGTGCCGCTGTGCAGCCAGCGAAGTGCTCGCCGTACTGTGCCGCTGTGCAGCCGGCGGAGCGCTCGCCGTACCTTGCCGCTGTGCAGCCAGCGAAGCGCTCGCCGTACTGTGCCGCTGTGCAGCCGGCGGAGCGCTTGCCGCACTGTGTCGCTGTACAGCCAGCGAAGCGCTCGCCGTACTGTACCGCTGTATGCGTCTCGCCGGTCTTTGTGTCTTTGGAGTGTGAGCTAATCCGATTGATTTTCTGGCTGTTTAAGCGCTCTCAGGCCTGGACCATCTTTCGCACTCGGAAGTGCGATACGTCTTAGGGACCATCCTAGACGGAAGTCGCTTTCGAGAATTCAAAGCTACCTACGGCAAGAGCGTCATCACTGGTTTCGGAAAGCTTAACGGGTACGTTTTGTGGTACTCTTAAAGAAGTGCCAAATCAACGAAGTTGTTATTTCCGATGTGCCGTGTAATTGCCCCTTTAAATTTACATATTATATATATGAACACATGGTACATTGTAATAGGGTTTATGGACATTCATGTTAAAGGATATGTAGGCTATAAGGATATAGTTTTACATAATGATTGTAAACAGATTTCTCTGGATATAGAGCTGCAGATCGCCAAAACCCTGAATTCATCCATTAATGAGGGTTATGAATGTTTATCCCGGTGGCTTGTCGCGGTTCAGTTTTGCCCGTTCCTGCGCAGGCGGCTGGTTGGCGTGGTGGCCAACCACGGGACGGTGACGTCACGCGACGCCCTGAAAATGGCGCATCTGGTGGAGCTCTGCGACCAGCGTGGCATTCCCCTTATCTATCTGCAAAACTCGCCAGCTGACGCAGGTGCAATGGCTCCGAAGTCCCCAATGGCCGGCGTAGCGATACAGACATCAACGGCGTATGGTTGACATGTTCAGGCCGACGTCATGTCCATGTTCAAACTCATGGATGTTGCCCTGGCATGCACGGACGAAAAGCGTCAACATGGTGACGTCCTTTGATTATGTCTGAGCCTCCGTCCCTGAAATACATATGAATAATATCCCGCTATGCACAGGGATATGGTTCCAGTACTGAGAAGTCTTGTTATGTGCCATGCCTTGCGGTGCAGGGACCATAAAGCCGTCGAGTCTGCCTTGTGTCACTATATGACCTGGCCATTTAGTGAGCTCCTCGTTTGGGTCGGCAGCGGCGGACTGCTCAGATCCTGAGGTCCTGAAGTGTCGCAGCCGAGCGGCCGCCGTGCTGGCCACCACCAGAGTGCCTCGAATCAGCGTCAACCTCACGGGCTGTCACGGCGACCAGCACCTGACCATGGTAAGGCCCCTGCGCCGACCAGCACCTGACCATGGTAAGGCCCCTGCGCCGCCCTTGCGTCCACACTCAGCGTCCACGGAATCGTACGTTCACTAACTGTCGTATGACTGCTGAACATGAGGATAGCCGGGGGTTTTCGGTGGACGAGTGATAGGTACAATCCACTAGCTACCAGCTCAGCTCTACGTCCCCTGTACGGGTGACGCGGGCGGTGAGCCCCTGAGTAGGGTGCGTCCTGCCCCGGACACGGCCTGTGACCAGCCCGGGGTTTGGGGGCAGCGGCCCGTCGGTCGGTGTGTCTCAGTCTCTGCCCGTGCTGCAGTGCGGCATAGCGTTTGAGCCGAACTTCTACTTCGCCTGGCCACGCGCCAAGTTCTCGGGACCGGCGATGACAGCTGGCGCGGAGCCGTCGGCGGCGTCCGCCGCTCCGCCGCCGCCGCCGCCGCCGCCGGCGGCAGCCACGGGCAAGGCCAAGACCGGGCCGCCGCCGCTGGTGCAGCTGGACAGAGACTCGAGCCTGTTTTACGCCTCGCGGGTGCTCATCGACGGCGTTATCCGCCCCCGTGACACCAGGAAGGTCGGTATCCGGGCAACGTCCTTACCCATGTATCCTGCATGTAGGTTAAGGCCCAGGTAGTAAGCTGGTGCGAACCTCATTCGCAAATGTAGGTGACTATGGAGATTGTTCATAAGCAGCACGATTTCACGTTTTTTGCCCATTTGTGTTTCCGTTTTTGATAGACCGGGTGCTATACTTAACACCGGCTAGTCTCCAGAACTCAGCGCGGACCTGGGCGTCGCAAGTAGCTGTGAGAACAATGTGAGTGCAAAATAGGCACTCAAACGTGTACCTTAGTTAGTACGCGCACGCACGCACGCACGCACGCACGCACGCACGCACGCACGCAGCCCTTCCGTGGTGGGTGGGAACTTTGTTTCCGTGCTGTCATACCTCCGGCAGACGTGTCTCAGCGCCGCGCTGCAGTGACATAGCCCCGCCACATCGCCAGATTCTGGAGACGAGGCCTGGACGTGGTGACATGGAACATCACCCTGGAGGAGCGGCGCCACCCCGTGATCCGCGATGTGAGCTGTTGCTGAGAGCTGGGCAGTCGTTCCGTGGCGGACGGATGGCCAGTCCGCCACGGGACCAGCGGAGAGGCCGCTGGCCGTGTGACCCACAGCCGCCGCTGGTCATCGCAGATGTGACCGGTCCTAGGCAGGGCTCGTAGCTCGTAGCGTCGGTACAATTTTTACGCAGTCGGCGGTTCATCGCCGATTGTTTTTCATGGTGTTTCCGCGGAGTGATTTTGGGCTCTTGCCCGCGCGTTGTTTTCTGTCGCCCTGTAGCCACGAACTCAAGGTGTGTTGTGGACTTGCGGCATGAGATGACTTGCATCATGTAGAACGAGGGGACGTACTACGCGCAGCATAAGGGGACTGTTACAACACGCAGCATGAGATGACTGTTACAACTTGCAGCAGGTTACTGATACGACTTCCAGCACGAGGGAAAATTTACATTGACCCCGCCCTTAGCGTATGTTAAAGTGTGTTCATAAGTGTAACGTTATGAAGCCATGTGGTATAATGTATCTGTGGAGATGCCTATCCATCGACATACACTTCAGGGGTGATGCCAGGAACTTCGCTTTCTGTCGAGTGCCACACTTGAAATTGATCAACAAGTAATTCCATATGTTTTGATTGGTAAGATACAATATACCAAAGCCACCAATTACGTTTCATGCCCCCAGTGTGTGATGGGACCCAGAAGCCGGGACCTTGCGGTTACAGCTGGGATGTCAACGCCCAGCCAGCGGCGGCCATGTCCAGACATCGGGAGGTCTTCCCTGGTACACGGCATACTTCTTCCGGATCTACTCGAACTCAGTCGCTAGGGCAGAAGCCAGTTCATATTTATATTTCACCCATGCATGAACCATTGCATTCGCTGACACGCTGACTTCAATCCTCATCACCCATTCGACATCCAAAACTGTAAGGGGCGAAACAAAGCTCACCAGCGAATCAACACCGACTGTGTTCATCGTGGCACATCTTCCAACGGCGCCCAAAATATTGCAGACTGACCCGTATCTGGGAAGAACACAGCTAGTTGACTTCCTAAACTGGTCCGACTGCTGGATCTCATAGAAATGGCTCTAGCTCAACGCTCGGCTGGAGGTTTCGACTACACGCGTGATTCGCGCCCCGTCAGTGGGTTTAGGCGCCTGATCTGGACGACGTCCTGCTACACAGATCAGCTCGCGTTACGCCATGATGGCTGTTTTATAAGTCCGACCTGCTGCGCAGAACGCACTCCGATTCGCCTCGCCTCCGGGGCGTCGCCTCCCGTTTCCCCGCCACGACGGCGTGTTGGCGCCACCTGGTGGTTCCGTCAGGTGGCAGCGATTACCTGGCAGCTAATACGCGACACCCCGTGTCGCTCGCACCACCCCGTCGTAGCGACTTGCCACACGGTCATGTCAGATGTCATGAGTGCGGCGCGGGTCAAGCGGCGTCGCTCGCGTTCGTCCGCCGCCCGGGCGCATCACACTCGGCCCTGTGCCACCCTTCCTCCTCGATCTGTGCGTCGCCTCCCCTGGCGCCGCCGGCCGCGCCGTCGCTCTGCTCCGGGTGGGCGTCGTCCTGCGGCGGCTGCGGCGTGTCACACTCGGCCGCCTCCAGCTGCGGCCGCGGGAAGCCGTACAGGCACCAGCGGTACAGCTGCTGCAGCTGACAGGCCGTCAGACGCTCGGCCCCCGGCCAGCCGTGCTCGTGCGCCACCACATCCGTCAGCGTCTCGGTCACCATCACCGGCAGTCGCACGTTGTGATAGACGACCACCTTACCGACTGTCGCGTACACCATGCATGGCACGTTGGAGCCGGTGCGCGCACCGAACTGACCGGCGGCAAACGCCGTGACGGCCTCCTCGAACAGGAACTGTACCGACTGCTTCTCCTGCCGCCAGCCGTGACAGACCAATCAGCAGGGCAGGACACTAGCCGAGGTGGGTCGGTAAGCAGAACAGGACACCAGCCACGGCGGATCGGTCAGCAGGACGGGACACCAGCCACGGCGGATCGGTCAGCAGGACGGGACACCAGCCACGGCGGATCGGTCAGCAGGACAGGACACCAGCCACGGCGGATCGGTCAGCAGGACAGGACACCAGCCACGGCGGATCGGTCAGCAGGACAGGACACCAGCCACGGCGGATCGGTCAGCAGGACAGGACACCAGCCACGGCGGATCGGTCAGCAGGGTTAGACGCCAACAATAGCAGATCGGTGGGCAGGACAGGACGGCAACAACGGTGGACCGGTCAAGGGGGCAGGCCTTAGTCCAACACAGTAAAAAACGCGATTTTGAACCACATAGGTGAAGGAGAACTGGATGAACTCCGTGCCCATACAAGCCACAGTGCATCAGTCGGTGAACTCCGGCTTAAAGGCCAGATGGGCCAGTGACGGAGACGGACATAGCCACGAGGGCGCGGTGGCAGGCTCCGAGCCCACCGACCTGGTTGATGATGAACGTGTGGCCGTCCCACGATGACACGATCAGCTCGTCACTGCCGTCCGAAGTCACGTCCATCTTGGTCAGGCCGAACAGCTGGTGATGAAGTACCACGGACCTGGCCGGCGGTCGGGTCCGGGCAATGTCAGCTGGCTGCGCCCATGTGTGCGGGTAAAACAGCCAGAGACAGTGCGCTGGTGCCTAAACATCAGGCAAATGCGCCCATGTGTGCAGGTGAAACAGCCAGAGACTGTGCGCTGGTGCCTAAACATCAGGCACACGCCATAACGCATATTGTAAAAGGCATTCGCATTTGTGGCCAGGAGCACTGCTCGTGCCAGCCTTCTCAAACTAATCCATACTTGCCTAATATCGTTGTAAACCAGCATTTCCTAACATACTGCAGAACATAAGTCAGCATAACAACTACTAACTTGAACTGCAGAAGTACTATCCATAATTGCAGGAGAACCAACGCGTCGCCCGCTTTGAAACAAACAGGCCAATACAAGTTAGCTAGCGCCATTCTGAAAAGCAGCTTCTGGTTCCATATTGTTCTGCCATCTTGCAATACAAGTTATGAACTATCATACGATTGCACGCGTGCGTTCGCACGTCTTCAAAAGGGGCTTTGGTACACACATCGATTCGTGCAAATTTTTAGACTGGAGGAGTCCAAATGGCGTTAGTCACGGTAGCGGTTGGCGCGCAATTCGCTTGACTCCCAACTTCCAAAATGCAAGTGTACGATGTGCAGCGAGGCATGGACACATCCACCACAATTCGAGAGCCACACACACTGTGCATGATCTGATGTTCACACATTTTGATCATTCCAATCTTAAAGTAATACAACATTTAGTACGTCAATCGCGGCTGGTTGCTCATGGTTCAAAGCGCAGGTCTTCCCAAACTCCGAAAGAGCACCTCCCTTCACCTCATTTCAATCACGAATCGTTTCTTAATACAATCTTATCCACATTAATTACGTAAGCTGTGAAGTGCATTTGCGAGGGGCGCTGTGCACACAAATGGTCCAGCATTACAGCTGACCAACCCACGAAAGGCGGGCGGGCGGACACAGCTGCTGATGGCGCTCGGCTCTCACACTGTAGACAGGTCATGTCAAGTGACCTCACCACTCGACGGCGTTGTCCTTGACGTAGAAGAGGCTGCCGTCCATGGTGATGAGGGCGTACGTGTTGGAGGCGGGCTGATCTCTCAGTCCACCCAGCACCTCGCACGACACGTTTTGACGCGTCTTCACCGCTAGGCTAACGTCGTCAATGTCCACAGAGTGGCACTCGCTGCAACACAGCAGCGCGGTACGCTCAATGTCCACAGCATGACGCCCTCTGTGGCACAGTAGCGCGGCGTCCTGAAGCGAACGGAAGGCAGCTAGGTGCCACCATACGAGGGCGTGGGCCGCCAGATGCTAGCATGCACCCTCCTAGTCACTGTTCGGTCAGATGAAAAAGGGAACCACTGCTTAGATAACAGCCCTGTGGGTGATAGAATAAGCGTTTTTGAGGTGAATGTCATTTGTGGCAATAAGCCCGTTCTGTACCAGCCGACGGACAAAAGATGACTTTATGAGAAATCAGTTCCACTTTTTCCGCTCTAACCGGCACCAATCACCGGTCAAAGCGATAGCGTAGCCGCACCACAGCGGCACCGGAGAGGGTGGGTGAGGGAGCGTACTGTCCGTCCTTGTCCAGCGAAGAGCGGTAACGGAGCCGCACCACGGCGGCGCCGAGGAGGGTGGGTAGGGAGCGTGCTGTCTATCCTCGACCAGCGAAGAGCGGTAACGGAGCCACACCACGGCGGCGCCGGGGAGGGTGGGTAGGGAGCGTACTGTCCGTCTTCGTCCAGCGAAGAGCAGGTAACGGAGCCGCACCACGGCGGCGCCGGGGAGCGTGGGTGGGGAGCGTACTGTCCGTCCTCGTCCAGCGAAGAGCGGTAACGGAGCCGCACCACGGCGGCGCCGGGGAGGGTGGGTAGGGAGCGTACTGTCCGTCCTCGTCCAGCGAAGAGCGGTAACGGAGCCGCACCACGGCGGCGCCGGGCTGCGAGACGAGCACTGACGGCCGGCCGTCGCCCTCTATGTTCAGCGAGATGGTGCCGATCTGCCGGGCAGAGCGCACACGTGGCGTCGGAGCGCGCTCGGAACGGTCGCTCGGTCGGACCGAGGTGGCGCAGACAGACGTCAGCAGACAGACGTCAGCAGACTGTACCGCGACGACGGCGGGCTGAATCCGTCCAGCCCTGGTGACTGGGTGAGTCGGCACCGGCGCCAGTCAAGTTTAGCTGTCAATCGTATCGATGGACTTTGCTGCTGCGTGGACAGGTTCACTTCCCGGATGCACGGGTCTCCAGCAGATACCCTTTGTTGCAAGGTATTGTCTAAAAACAATATACACAATGTATGTACAAACACCCAGGTGTGAAGGCGCTTACACGTCCGGCGGACTGCACGTGCACGTGTCGTGCGATCTGGCGTCTGGTAGAAAAAGCCGTGAGCCACAGTTATCATGGTTGTCGCTGACCATCACAGAAAAATGGCGTTCCTGATCCCTGCTGAGGATGGGGATTGGGTTGCCTTGGCTGATGCAGTCAGACCTCTGGGGTGCAGCGCTGCGGCCGCCGCCCGCGCGTCGCACCTGCTGCATGAGTTCGCACTTGCTGATGGCACGCAGCGTGCCGTCCGTCCAGCGGTACACGCGGACGACCCGGTCTGTCAGCGCCACCACCAGCTCCAGCTGCTGGTCCAGGTCCACGTCCGCCAGCAGCGCCGTCTGTCGGAGACGCGGCCAGACTGAGTGTGTGGCCGGCGGCGCCACGCCGCGAGTGCCGCAGCTGTAATAACGTACCGCTAAGACGACCCGTGAGGCGTTAACAGACACATCATACTGTGGCACTGTACATCCGCTTTCTGTGTATGCAGAGGCCTATAATAACGAAATGTGTAATACTGAACACTTAATGTCAGTATCATCACATGAAGCAGGGTGTCATGTGGAAGAGTGGAATATGGAGGGATACATAAATATGGGAATACATCGAATGTATTATTGAGCAACAAAAGGCACTTTCTCATCGCATGCCCATGCAATTTGTAAGGGGTAATTGCCCATACAATTATCACAGCACCTTCATAGGGCATCTACGTGCGTGGGCACGCGCGCTCCACCTACGACCCTAGATGACCGTCCGTGCAGAGGATATTTCTGGCCACTTTCAGCTCAGTCTCTGAGGCCATTTCGTACCCACTGCACGGCGGCACCAGCACACCCATCCGCAGTTTGCCGAGCTCACCTTAACGTTGGCTGGGATGCGCTGGGAGTGTCGCTGCCGCAGGCTCGAGCCGTCCATCTCCAGCACGTGGACCCAGCCGTTGCCGCTGATCACGGCCAGCACATTCTGACCGGGCGCCGTCAGCGGGCCGCAGCAGATGGCTGTTATCATGCCCAGCTCCGAGACATGACACAGCGGCTGCGTCTGCAGAACACAGCTCGGTGATCGTCTGGAGACGCGAAACAGGGACGACGTCTGAGGGACGCACAATCGTGGTCGCGTCCAGCTCCAGGACGTGACGTGCGGCTGCGTCCGGACATGGGGGACAGCGAGCACACCCAGATTCGATGCGTCGAACAGGGGACAGGGGGTACGTCTGGGGCACGATGGACCCACATCTAAACAATATCCAAGACTCCAGGCATGCGCTGCTTGAAGGGTAAGGCGGATCATGCTTAACCACACGCAGCAAGGGCTATCTCACGAAAGCTGCCTCCACCGCGGCCCGCCGCCCCGCAGCGTCACTCAGCCTCGGCCCATCTCCCCAGCGCACCGCGCGGAGCCTGTCTCCCGACCGTCGGCGCCGCGTACCTGCAGGCCTTTGAAGACGTAGAGATCTCCGGTCTCAGTGCCGACGGTCAGCTCGTTCTCGCCGTCGTTGTCGACGTCAGCCAGCAGCAGAGCGGACGGGGACACGCCGCCGTGCACCTCCAGGTCCACGTGACCGACGAACGAGACGGTCCTCATGGCGGGCGAGCTGCTACAGGGTGCGTCCGCCGCCCACCGAGCTGGCTCGTCCCAGCCGAGACCACCAGCACAGGGCGCCGACTTAGATACCTGGCCACTGGCTTGTTGCTGAGGCTCTCAGAAAGTTTTTAGATCTTACGTGAATTTCAAGGCAATGTGCGCCATGACCCGTGAGAGACCCGCGATACGGCTACTAGGATGATCAAATGTCGTATTGCCTCCAACCAGAATCCACGCGATGTTCTTGAGCATGGAAACGTTCACTATTCCAGACGCAGGTGACTTTCCCTGAGCAGCTGCTGCCTGCACTTGTGAAGCCTAGATCGGCAGTCGGCGCGAGCAGCAGCCGGGCTGGCGCGGCGGGTGGTCAGTGACTGGCGGCCCGGCTCAGCGGGTGCCGGTCCGCCGGCAGCTGCGGCTCCAGGCGGCGCCACCGGCGCGGCGGCCAGACCACGTGTGAGGCGCGCGCCGTCACCAGACCGACGGCCACCGGGCCCAGCAGGTTGGAGTCGAGTGAGTGTCCGCGATTGTCGCCCTCCACCCAGCAGTGGCCGTCCGGCACGCGCACCACTGGCTGCCTGTAGCCGAGCGTGCGCACCACGTCGCCTTCGAGGCCCACCACACGCTTGATCAGCTTCTGGTCAGGGTCCTTGGGCGAGCTGAGCGACACGATGGCGCCCGGCGCCAGCTGAAAGTGGCGCACCGCCCAGCGGTTCAGGAACACGTAGTCTCCGATGTCGCCGTCCGGATTCAAGGCCGGCTGCATAGACGATCCCTCCACCTGGTGACAGATTCATACTTTGGGAGTGAGATATGGTTCAGTAAGTAAACACTGGACACAAAACACTAATGCATGCTTCCCAACACCCATGCTGGCTAAAGGATCATTTTACTGCTCTTTGCAGTCTGAATCTTCCTCATTCAGATATGAACATATGACTATTGTGTCCCACCACGCTGGCAGCTCAGTATGCCTGGACTGATGCATAATGTTTGTATGATATTCACGTACAGAAAAGGAGGATCTCCACCAGGAACTATGCTTAGTCCAAATCATCTTACACTAGGATTCACATTCCACCAATTCACCCCTCACTGTAATGGGAACAAGCTGTTAAAATGTAACTAAGCTGGACTCATAAAGGAATACATAGCCTTCATTCATAAAGCACCCAAAACCAATTTTGTAGAAGATGGGGACCTTGTTGTGCGCTGCCTTCTACCAGCATCACTGTTCCCTGTGTTCTGTGTGAGCTCATCCATGCCATTCAGAAAACATGAGGCTTATATTTGTGTGAATGGAAGACATATTGTGGGTATGCTGAGTGGAATCTAGTACTGTGTTCACTCTGTGGCTGATGTTTTTTAAGCCAAACCATTGCTGTCACTGGGGCACCATGACTATGCATGGCATGGCAGCAGGACATATGTCCAATGTGTCCCTACTGGTGATAGCCCTCCTCATCACCAGCAGGCTGCAAAGGTGTTTATCTGTATTTTTGTGAGGGTCATGTACTCACCCCCCCCCCCCCTCCCTAGTTGAATTAGTTCCCCTTCCCACAATGTTGGCTTCCCCAGTATTTTTGTCTGGCATATTACAAAGCATAGGAACAGTTGCCATCATAAAAAGACCAGCTGCCTTGATGCTTTCTCATGGTGGCATCAACAGAAGGTGCAGCAGGGTAACTTGATCCCATCACCGCAAAACTGTGTCCTCAAATGAGCTCTAACTTTAGACATGGGGGGGGGGGGGTAAACCACTATTTATTTAATATTTTTCTGCCCGTCAAACATAACCACAGACGCTTGTTTTCTCCACAGCCCAAACATGACACTAATGCCACTGATTCACTGGTCTTGAGAAGACTTTTGTGCCAAGTCACATTTCCCCTACCCAAGCTGGGCTACAAACCTAATATTGTTTTGAACCAATATGAACCAATATGAATCAACACTTTTGTTTGGGGGGAACAGCATCATGAAGTACGATTAAAGGCACAGTTCTACTATAAAACGAGAGGTAATGTCAAAACTACCATTTTGAAGGACTGATTTCTAATTTGATTCCATGTTGAACACGATTTATTGCTGGTTTTCTGAAGACACCACATCATTAACATAATGCAAGTTCAACAGATCTGTTTTGCCTTTGTCCATCATCAAAATATTATGAAAGGACTTCTACTGCACCATGCAACTACACAACTGTTGGCTGCCCAGTAACTAGGCTGACACTTCCAAGCCAACAGCCAAATGGCCCTTTTCAATGAGCCATATCCGAACACTTCTGCTCGAAGGTGAACCTACCACCACCCATTTTGTCACATCAAATATGTGGTCTGCATAACTTCAGGGCTCTATCAAACTTGGGCTCCTATCACCATATTTGATGTGTCTGGGTAGCAATATGCTTTCTGCTTGCGAGCATTTTACACACTTGCAGTCAACAGTCTCCGAGAAAAGCAATGTATGTAAACTGCCCCTTGACTGACTTTTCTTGTCCACAGATGTCCCTGATGACATAGAAAGCAGTCACCATAGTTGACCTCAGATTAATGAATTGAAACCTTTAATGGGAGCAGTGGAACTATTTTTTTTTTGCATCCCTTATGCTTTTCAGGCCAGTATTATGGGAATGTTTGAGCTCCATCTGGAAATCTGTGGCCAATGCATTTTATTTTCTAGCTTTATTCCTACACCACTATATGGAATTAAATGACTTGGGAATACCTCAAACTTTCAGGATGCAAGGGGGAAGGGTTTTGCCACATGTTGCATATTTTGGCACCATCTAATGATGTGCAATCTTATGCATTAAGTCAGACTTCTTTTATAGGTGGGTTATTTGCCACTGTGTTAGGATGAAGAACTAGCCTCCATAAAACCAAAATTACATAAATAATATGGCATGCAGTTGTTCAACAAGAAGTGGCAAGCACCTCAGGAGAGTGATACCAATTTCATAATGATCATTTCATACCAGTGGCTACCAATATATACCAATATAATTATAATGTGATATAAATGTCAATAAATATAAACACCAATAAATACCTGTGTCTCTGATTAATAGCACATGTATTTCATGTACAGTTACAACAAACCCATTCTCACCATTATTTTACAGCACATTTTTGCATATCTCATTAAAGCAGCTTGCTTTGAGCCCTAATTCCATGTGAGCATCAGCTGATTTTTCATTGAGCTGCTAAACAGAACATAATTTAGTATTGTTGCAGAGTCGTAAGAGTGGCTTCAGCATCCTCAGACAGACTCTAGGGGGGGGGGGGGGGGCACCTATACTTTCCTATCAGAAGGGACACATGTCTCCAGTGCCCCTATGCTGATCAAGTTACTACTGTATTTAGCTCAATCTAATATCAAAATCTACTCTGTCAACATACAGAGTGTTAAATCCATTGAGAAAAGTACAGGTCATTGGGCAGTGAACTTGTCCTCCTCAGTCATTTCCAAAAATCAATATCCCTGACATACTGAGATGAAGATACAAAAACAATACACCTTTCAGTGCAATCAGTGATAAATGTTGGCAATTACTAGTGGGGCCATTACCTGCTTCCCAACCTTTTAATTTCCATGCACACATTGCTGAAAAGACTACATGTTCTTCAATGACACTGAAATACAATGGTATTTGAACAAAAACAAGAGTCCAAGGCATAAAGCCACTCATTATACATCTCCTTAGCAATGACTATGACTGTTCTTCACAAACTATTGGAACCTTAACTGGGGAAATATTTACTTCATTTGGATCACCCAGGTGACTAGCTCAGCACTACCACCCACACACCATAAAATGAGCTTCGCTGGAAAGCCTCGGCTTTAGACATCAGTAAAGGAAGTGGTTCATATAGGGTTCATATGTTTAAAAAGGCTGCAAGGCAAATGGGATTTACCTTTGCAACATAACCGAAGACATCCACCAAAGTGATACCAACCGGAACACTTATAACTACGGTTCGAAATAGAGCAGTGAGACGTTGCATATATGCTACTTTAGGAAAATGGGATTGCACTGCCAGGGTTGTATGGTTGATGTAATATCAGTCCCAGCCAGAGAAAAGAGACAGGACATCAACTAATTTCAACGTCGAAAATGCTCGCTCAGCAATGACGGCCACTGATACGGCCAGATGCCTCAAATGCGTCAGAATAGGCATATTTCGATACTGCCAGATACAGCGTTCCAAAATTACAGCGACCGATTGAACTGTGGATCTGTATCACGGGAATAAGAAGACGGAAGACGAAATACGTTCCGCGCAACACCCCACATGTAGATTGGGGGAAGCACGGGATGCATATCAGGGGCCTCACAAGGCCTCAAAATCCGTGTGATGCAATGCATACGTCATGCATGGAGCAAAATGTCCGGGAAGTTCGATGTTTCCGATTTATTCAGCGAGTTATTCAGCGACGAGATCCGATTTCTCTGAAAAAGGTGTGGAAGTCAAGTATGGCACAAGAGCATTGAAAATGGCCTTTATGTTGCAATATCATGTGACATTCAAAATCAAGAGCTAGGTCAGAGGACGGAGAACTCGATATCACCAGAAAATGACAGATCAATTTCAAACTTTCCGATGTCAGAATATTCACCACATTAAGAACTAGCGTCCGTCAAAAAGTCCCGATTTACCAAGGTTATCATTCAAGGTCAAACGCGGACTCAAAGGACGGGTACTTCATATTACCCAAAAATTACTGGCCGATTTTAAACTTCCAATTGTAAGAATATTCACCATAGAAATAACTGGTGTCTGTCAAAAAATTCTGACCCCTCCAGGTCAAAAATCAAGGACAAACGTGGGCTCAAGGGAAAGGAACTTCATATCATTAAAAAATAATCAGCTCATTTTAAGCTTGCACACATCAGAATACTAACCACAGAAAAAACTACCGTTCGTCAAAAAGTTTTGACTTCTCGATGTCACCTTTCACAGTCAAACGCGGGCTCAAAAGACGGGGAGCATGATATCACCTAAAACTTACCGGCCAATTTTACGCTTACAAACATCAGAACATTAAGCACAGAAAAGACGAGCGTCCTTCAAAAAGTCATGATCTCTGAAGGTCATCCTTCAAGGTCAAACGGGGTTCAAAGGACGGGGAACTCTTTACCGTCCAAAAATTATCCGCCGATTTTAAACTTGCACATATCAGAATATTCACCACAGAAGGAACTAGCGTCCGTCAATAAATCGTGACATTTAAAGGCCATCCTTTAAGGTCAAACACGGGCTCAAAGGACGGAAACTCCATATCACCAAAAAGCTACCGGCTGATTTCAAACTTCCAAACATCAGAAAATTCACAAGCGCAAGATTTAACGCTCGTGAAAAGGTCCTGACATTTCAAGGTCATCACCCAAAGTCAAACGTAGGCTCAAAGGACGGGGAGCTCCATATCACCCAAAAATTACAGGCCGATTTTAAACGTACAAACATCAGAATATTCACCAAATGAAGAACTAGCGTCCGTCAAAAAGATGACCTTACAAGGTCATTCTTCAAGGTCAAATGTGAGCTCAAAGAACAGGGAATTTCAAATAACCCAAAAATTATCGGTCAGTTGTTAACTTGCAAAAGTCGGAATATTCACCACAAAAAACTAGCGTCCGTCAAAAACTCCTGACCTGTCATGATTACCTTTTTGGTAACATTGAGAGGACGCCAGTTCTTTCTGCGGCGAATGTTCTGACTTTTGCAAGTTAAAAATTGACTGGTAATTTTTGGGTGATATTGAGTTTCCCGTCATTTCGGTTCACATTTGACCTTGAAAGATAACTTTGAGAGGTCACAAATTTTTATGGGCGCCAGTTCTTCCTCTGATGAATATTCTGACATTTGGAAGTTTAAAATCGGCTGGTAATTTTTGAGTGACGTTAAGTTCCCCGTCATTCAAGCCCGCGTTTGACCTTGAAGGTGACCCTGAGAGGTCAGGACTTTTTGACAGACGCTGGTCTTTTCTGTGGTAAATGTTCTGATGATTCCAAGTGTAAAATTGGCCCGTAATTTTTTAGTGATATCGAGTTCCCCGTCCTTTGAGCCCGCGTTTGACCTTGAAGGACGACCATGAGAAGTCAGGACTTTGTGCTGGACGCTAGGGTTGTTCTGTGGAGAATATTTTGACACTTGCATGCATAAAATCAGCAGGTAGTTTTTGGGTGATATGGAGTTCCCCTGTCTTTTGAGGCCGCGTTGGACCTTGGAGCATGGCCTTGAGAGGTCAGTACTTTTTGTCAGACACTAGTTTTTTGTGGTGAACATTCTGATGTTTGTAAGTTTAAAATCGGCAAGACTTTTTGTGAAATGAAGTTCCCTATCCTTTGAGCACGCGTTTGACCTTGAAGGATGATATTGACACGTCAAAACTTTTTGACGGAAGCTAGCTCTTGCGGCTGTGAATATTTTGACGCTTGCAGTTTTCAAATCTACCAGTACTTTTCGGGTGATATGGAGTTCCCCGTCCTTTGAGCCCACGTTTTACCTTGCAAGGTGACCTTGAGAGATCAAAACTATTTGATGAACGCTAGTTCTTTTCACGAATAATATTCTGATGTTTGCAAGTTCAAAATCGGGTGGTAATTTTCGAGTGATATGGAGTTCCCCGTCCTTTGGGTCTGAGTTTGACCTTGAAGGATGACCTTAAGAGGTCAGGAGTTTTTGACGGACACCAGTTCTTTCTGTAGGGAATATTCTGATGTTTGCAAGTTTAAAAGCGGCCGGTAAGTTTTCGGTGGCACCGAGTTCCCCGTCTCTTGAGCCCGCGTTTGACCTTTTAAAATGGTCGGTTAGATGTCCAGAGTTTTTTTGACGGATGCTAGCTCTAACGCTTATGAATATTTTGATGCTTAGTTTTCAAATCGGCCAGCAATTTTCGGGTGACATCGAGTTCCCTGTCCTTTGACCTAGGTTTTGATCTCGAAGGTCAAATGGGATTGCAAAATAAAGATAATTTTCCATGTTCTCGTGCCATTATTGGCCTAAAGACCTATTTTCAGACAAATCGGAGCTCGTCGCTAAAATATCACTGAATAAATCGCTAACTTCACGGACATTGGAGCGAACTCGTCTACGGAATCGTGTGGAAGCGGTAATTGGCAGGTGACAAATAGCATCAGTCGACGGGACGCATCTTTTCACGATGAGAACAGCACGCCCACTTTGGCAATCACTGCAACGGTAAATACGGCGCTCTAACGTAAGCACAGCCGCAAGAATCAACGGGCTATCGTTTTCTGTGGCCTTGGATACGCTGCTGGTTTGAGGCATGCCACCTTCAGAATTTCTTCCTGAAAAAACACGCGTGCGGAATGAACGCGAAAGTAAGTACCTAGCTATCGCAACGCCATCATGGCACACGCCACGCCCAGGGGTTCGCACACGCATCCAAGGACACTGCCGGAGAGTGGACAGGGGCCTCAGATCGCCATCGCACTTCCCAGTGCCCCTTGCCACCCGATGCCTCTCGGAAGATTCTACCTCAGCTTATGCATCGCCATGTTTAAGGTATCCGGGAAGATCGTTCAAAATACGATGACAGGGCCAGATATTTATTTTCGGCAATTGCTGGATAAAGGAACGCACTAACCAAGCGCGTATACCAGTAAAATATAGGGCCACCTAACTATTGCGACATTCCAAAGAGACACTGCGTCAATGACATAAACAACACCAAGCTAGAAAATCTCCAACAGGATAGCCAAAGCCAGAATTTTTCGCGGATTATCACACCCCGTATCTGAGCGCGGCGCTCAGTCATCCTCCTCTTCCACACCCTCATCGCTGTCTTCCTCGTCCTCGTCTGTCTCGAATGTGTCGTCTGGGATGTCATACAGGTTGACCATCTGCTTGTTGGGGTCCTTCATAATCAGGTACTTGCCCGGCTCGCGGGCGCGGATGATGTCGACAATACAGCGCAGGATGCCCCAGGCGTTGTCCATCGACAGGTTGATCTGCGTCGCGAACTCGCTCGGTTTGAAGTGCATCACGTTCAGGATCACGTGCTTGCTAGAGTCGCGCGGTGCCACGCGCGACACGAAGCCGAACTTGATGATGCCCGAGCCGGCCAGCAGAGACTGTACCGTCCACTTAGCCATCTTGCAATTGTTATTCTTGAGCTCGTTGGCGAGCACGGCGGCGCGCTGCGTGTCCAGCTTCTGGCGCCAGTCCACGTTGTTGGCGTGCTTGGGGTCCCACTCGTTGAGCGCGCGGATGGTCATGAACTGGCCTTCGGCGCCGTATACGGCCGCGTCGTGTTCGGTGCGCACCACTAGCTCGACGTCGTCGCCCAGCGAAAACTGCCGATAGCGGTACGCGACAGACGCGATCGACTCCGGGTCGTCCTCCTCCTCCACGAACGGGTTCGGGTGCTCGAACTCTTGCCGCTTGTAGTCGTTCAACAGCACCTGACGGCCAATGACAGCGACAATAATTAGCGGCGACATGCATCAGCACGGTACTGACGCAGAGCTGGAGCACTCAGTGATCGGGTCCAAGCTGCTATGGAAATCAAGTTTGCAATCAAGTTTGAGATTCTACGGAGTTCATTATTCCTCAAGGTCAGAAAACAAGTGAGTGCTTGGAAAGCAGACAATTTGCATGCAGAGCAATCGATGCCATGGGCAAAGCGAATAGTTTTTTTGAAGCACTCGTGGCGAATTCCGTCATTTATTCCTCGATTGCATAGCATCTTTCTTCTTGGAAGATGTCCAATCCTTACATAATGTTATTTCTGTAGTGTTTTTGTCCACATGGACCCCGTTGGTACACAAACGGTGAACAAGCACTGAGGCACAGTTTGCCCTCCATGAGACTTATATACGATGGTCAATTGGCAATAAATCATTAATCGTATCCACTCACTTGCGGGAGCGTCACTGTCGACAATCAATTGCGCTTAAATGTAGAACTTTCATTTTTCAGAACATTCGAAACACTGGCTTCGGTACTCAGCCTCAGATGCTGCCGAATCAGCGTGCTCCGCGGAAAATTTCAACGTCTTACATCCCAATCGTCGGCGTTGTCGCGCAAATACACGCATACACACGTACGTACCTGTTCGGGGAAGTTATGATTGATAAAGGTGGCCTCCATGGCTAGGTTTCTCGGCGAGTTGATGGACGGACCCTCGTCGTTGGGCGGATCCCGCGACGTCTCCGAAACAGTCACCAGGTCAAACTCGGACTCGTCACGCTTGTCAAAAAAGATCAGGTTGCCGATCTTTTGGACGACGATGTCCCAGGAGTAGTTGCTGCGCGTGCAGCACATGAGCGTGGCCAGGATCTCATCGGTGGCGAACACGTTGCCGCCAGACTTGGCCAGCTTCCGAATGATCGGGTCGTCCGTGGTCGTGACCTTGTGGTGGATGCGGGTCGATGCGCTCAAGCACTTCCGGCCTTTTGACGTTGATGCGGTCCACCAGCCTGTTGTAGTACTTGACAGCGCCGCACTTGTACAAGTCGACCGGCTCACCGACGCTGGGCAGCGAGAGCTTCTGCAGGCGCGGGAAGTCCATCTCCTCGATGACCACCCAGTCGGGTCGCACAGTGACCGAGGCGTCACGGTTCTTCATTTGGTAGCGGTTGTAGTCGAAGCGCTGCCGGTTGCCGAACTGCTTCTGCAGGCGTCGCACCTGGCGCTGGCGGTTGGCGTCGCGCGTCTTCTCGCCCTTCGTCATGACACGCGTGTCGGCCGCCTGGCCGCGCTGCAGCAGCTGCTGCTGCCGCTGGCGGAAGTTGCGCTGGTAGCGGCCGCGGAACATTGGCTTGGGCACCTTAGGCTGCACCACCAGTTTGAAGCTGTCTTCGTCCTCTTCGTGCAGGTAGGCGTATTGGCTGCCGCCCCCGAACTGCGAGTTGTATTTATTGCCGTAGCGGCGGTCCTGGAAGGCGCCCTCGCGCGCCGACAGTTCGGCCACCTTGCCAATGCGGTCTCCCTTGGAGAATGGCTGGTATGGCATGTCAGAAAAGCGGTCCACTGTGGCCGCCGGCCCCCAGCCGCTCTCGCTGATCTGCACCTTGGGTGGCACAAACTTGGCCATTGTGCGGTAAACTGGTTTCAACAGTGCAATCTGTAATGTATGCCATATATTGTGAGCTGTCATTTTTGCTTCAGATACTGACAGGCCTTCACAAAGAAATTAACATTTAGCACAACACCAACTTCATGCACATCTTATCAAATTCAAAAGAAAGGGCAAAATGATGCACAGAAGCCATGGCCCAGACAGTGTAAGTTTGAATGAAAAGCACAAGCAGGGACAGGAAAAGGAATCACTTTGGTCTGTTCATGGGAGCATTGCAATGGAACCAAATTAAATGGGTGTGACTAATTTTGTAATGAGATGGGCTTAAATGCATTCTGAAACTCACACATATGACATGTATTTCTGGAAGGAGAGATGTAGCCATTTTTAAGGCCAGCATTGAGTCATTCCAATATTTCAATATAGCCTGTTACCATCATGAAACATACATATGTTGGTTTCCTTTTAAACTGTTTCAAAGCATGTTTCATGACCAATGCATCATGATCATATCAGTTACAGAATTACACATAGTGCAATAGTAATGAAAATGAGGGCTTTGAGTTAAGTCACACTGACTTGCCCTGATGAATTTGGGGGGATGTACCCAGAATCAACTAAAAAGAAAACCCAAAGAAACATTCATCAGAAAATGGCAAAAGTTGATTATACTACACATCAAAATGACATATTTGTACTCTTACACTCATAATGGCATTCACAGCATGTGACAGCAGCATAACACCACACTGATCTTTGATTGGTTGACATGTCAGCGGGGCAGCAAAGCACTTTGTGCACTGTAAAATAAGTACTGCAATCATTGCAGAGCATGGACACTAGAAAAAGCAAGGCCCAAAGAAGGCAAACAAAAGTGCTTTCATAGCATGGAGCACAGAGCTCGATGAAACTTCTATGTGAGAGGCTACTTTACATAAGAATTAAGAGCTATTCAGCCTTTGAAGAAAATTGATATTACTGAAGAGGTTGCATGAATCTGATCCAACAACAAGTGAGAAGAACAAAAAGGTGGTAAACTCCCATTAAAAGGTTAAAGGTATTGTGCAAGGTGTCGCTAAAATGGCACCCAGTTAGTTGACATGTGGTATGTATACCTAAGTGTCTATCAAATTTAATTTGCCATATATTGGGAAGATAAGGAATGGTATGCTGAGCTAGACAGTGTAAAGACCATAAAATATCATACATGTTCATCCCCATAAATTTAGCTAGTGGGCCACTACTTCAGCCATGACTGGCCCATAGGCTTTACACCATATGGCCAGACTGCAAATGAAAGACCAGCAGTGGCAACTTGCAGAGGGCACAGACTGAGGCGCTCATGAGATCACGGTTGAATTTCATTCCTTAGAATTTACCCACCAGTTAAAGACTAGCACGGCCAAAATACACTGAGAATATCTGCACTTGTAAGAAGTACGTAAGCACCCAACGCCAAATTCTTGCACTTTCATAACGTTACCGCACAAGAAGCTATCGTGCGGCAGGTTGTACACTCAAAGAAACGCTGTTACTCAAATAATCAAAAAGTCATAACTTCCACAGTCAAAACGATACCTGAATATATCTGGGGCTTCTCCACCAGGAGAACGGATTCCGCAGATCCGCTCTAACTTTCGAAGAACATTATGCAAACGCGCCGACCTCACACGCTGTCACTGCGCAACAAATGTCTACAGTACGCAATCATTGGGATATAGAGCAGAGTATGTGCACAAATATTCGTGATACGTAACGTTTGGGAATTTCATAAGAAAGGGTACTCTAGATAAGACAGTAGTAAAAGCCTTATTCCTCAGAAAAGCCAGGAGAATAGAGATATAGTTGTGTTGATATTTCGGCAACATGCCTTTCTCGACACAATTTTCATTTCCTCACCACTCAAAAGCATTTATAATTTTTTAACATCAGCCTTCTATTTTCAATGGTTCGAGGTATATGAGCTTGGACCATTTACGCCCCCAAATTGACCAATTTCAGGTATTGCCCATGTCGTTGCATCATACGTTTTTAGACGCAGAATTGCCTCGCCCATGGGATCGTGCGGCCAGAACTGACCAGTGCTGATACGTTTTGATATAGATATTTTATATAAATATTTGATATAGATAGGGCGCCGCCTTCAAAGGTTTTTGTCTCCTAACTCCAAAATTATGGAAGAGGGAAAATTTCAAGTTAAACCATCGTATTGGCCGTGCAGTTACGCATCCAATGGCGTATAATACAATCACATTCTACCGGGGGCGGATCTAGCGTGGAGTTTGGGGGGGGGGGGGCAATCGTTCGTCGCCAGCTGGCTGGCGTGGGATCCGAGGTCCAGTGCACGGTGCCTCTCGCGAGTACCTAGTAGGGACACCATTCAAAACCGAAAAAAAACACCGAAATGCTTTTGAATATTAAACAGAACTTAAAACAACAGTTAAAGCTGCTGAATATAAAACAGACGGTAAGTAGACGAAACTTTGATGAAGTTCTGGGAATATTTTGGGGCGGCCAAAACCTACTCCCAGAGGTTTTGGGGGGCCATGGCCCCGTGCCCCTCCCCCCCTCCCCCCAGGACCCGCCTATGCATTCTACCAAGTTGAAGTTTTGTCGTTCCATGGCGTTTGCAGGTAAAACCAGCCTTTTATTTCCATTGGATAGATTGATGTGAACTTGGACACTTTACTTCCCAAATATCGGGCATTTTGAAATCCTGCCAATGTCGTTGCATTAAACCTTCTTAGTCGCAGAGTTGCCTTGTCCATGCGATGGTGTGACCGTAACTGTCCAATGCTGATAGGTTTTGAGTGAGGTATAACCAACGTGGAATCATGTCCAGAAACGGTTTTTTCATCTAAAAGGCCTTAACCGGGACAGAACATGCTACCGCTTCCTTCATACACTGAAGTTAATATTGGCCCTTATTTCACCCCAAAAAACATCCGTTTGAAGATTTTGATTTTTTCCGCAACAAAGTGGAAGAGCAGAATTTCATGACAGCCACCTTGCTGCGGATAAATCAAAATCTTGCACTGCTTTTCGGTGTGAAATGAGGGCCAATAGTAACATCAGAATGTTTGCTTTTGGGAGCATCTTCTGTCCAGGTTTACGCTTCTTCGACGAAATGGCTATTTTGGGTTGCATCTTGGTTGGTACCGTTGGCTGTATCTAACTCAAAACATATCAGCATTAGACAGTTGAGGTCCAACCACCGCATGGGCCAGACAATTCTGCGCCTTAACAGGTATTATGCAATGACATTGGCAGGGTTTGAAAAGTGACGATTTTTGGGACGTAAAATGGTCCACGCTCATATCTCTCGAACCACTGAAAAAAGAAAGTTGATTTCACCTGCAAACGATGTACAACGATGTTGCAAGTAGTTGTCTACATTCTTGAACACGGGGTGATTTGACCGGGCAGGATTTTAAAATGGCCGATTTTTTCGACGAAAAGTTGTTTTTTATATTTCTGTTAAGCGGGTGGTGAGACAAAAATTTTATCATGACAAACTTCGTAATTCAAAAATATGAAAACAAAATTTGTGGTTACAAAATGGACACTTTTGGTCCATTTAGTGGGTGAATGATGTGGCAGGTGTTTCTGTGCGTGGAAACAGTCTCTAGAACAATTGCGATGTTTAGCGCGGCTTCGGAAGGTTTTTTGAACTAACTGCAAAACCATGCAAGGGAGAAAATTTGAATTTGCACCATCGTAATGGAAGTGCAATTACGCGTCTGATGACGTATAATACAGTGGGATTCCACGAAGTTGAAACTCAACTATTTTTGGTGCGCTCAGACTTTTTAGGTTTTGTTTCTGCAACCAGCTCCGTTCGAAGGCAGACTGCACTTGCAAACGATACACAATGATGTCACAAACATTTATTCTCCTTGTTGTCAACATGGAAATGAACACAAATCTCACAATGGCCACTTTGTTGCGGAAAAGACAACATCTTGAAACGGATGTGTTTTGGTGTGAAATGAGAGTCAATACTAAATTGAATGCGTGTACGAAGGGGGCATGTCCTGTTCGGGTTTACGCTTTTCTAGAGGAAATGGCCGTTGTTGGACATGATTTGACGTTGGTTGTATTTATATGAAAACGTATCAGCATTGGACAGTTTTGGTCGCATGATCCCATGGGCGAGGCAATTCTGCGTCTGAAAACGTAAAATGCAACGACATGGGCAAGACCTGAAACTGGCCAATGTGGGGGCGTAAATGGTCCAAGCTCATACACCTCGAACCATTGAAAATAGAAGGCTGATTTCACTTGTAAACGACTTGGAACGACAAAAGACTTCAGCTGGTGGGATCACATTGTATTATACGTCATTAGGCGCATAACTGTACGGTCAATACGATGGTCTAAACTGAAACTTTATCACTTGCAGAGTTTTGTAGTGAGTAGAAAAAACCTTCGGAGGCCGCGGTTAAGATTGCAATTGCTCTAGAAATTGTTTACAGACACAGAAACACTTGCCCCGTCATACGCACACAAAATGAACCACGACCTTGCGCTTCACAAAAAAACATCACGGGTTTAAACTTATGCCTTTTTTGAAAAATTTGCAATGGTCAGATTTTTCCTCATCACCCGGTGAGCAAAAATGTAGTCAACAAGTTGTAATATCGTTTTACATCGTTTGCAAGTGAAATCAGGTTTTTTCATAGGGTCGAGAGTTATGAGCTTAAATCATTTTACGTCCGAATAATCGGCCGTTTTCACACATTACCAATGTCGTTGCATTATACATGCTGAGACGCAGAGTTGCATCGCCAATGCGATGGCGTGATCTTAACTGTCTAATGCTGATATATTCTGGATAATATACCACAAACCTGAAATCATGTTCAAAAATTGCCATTTCTTCTAAAAGGCGTAAATCTGGACAGATAATGCTCTCACTTCGTACACACACTGAAGTTACCGTTGGCTATCATTTCACACCAAAAAACATCGTTTTTACCATTTTGACCTTTTCCACAACAAAGTGGCAGTGGCAAAAGTTGTGTTTTTTTCCATGTTCACAACAACGGCACTGAATGATTGCAGCATCATTGCGCATCGTTTACAAATGCAATGTGCTTTCGAACATAGGTAGTTTTAGAGAGAAACCTTAGAAGTTTGCGCGGACCAAATATGGTTAATTTTTATTTCGCTGGGACCTCATTGTATTAAACGTGATTAGAACTGTAATTGCACATCTAAAGCGATGGTGTTATTCCAGTTTTTTCAGTTTCGTAGCTATTCAGTGAGTTGATAGAAGTCTTATAAGGCAGCGCTCAGAATTACAGTTGTTTTATAAAACAGATTGAAATACACCTAACATACGCATGAACACCTAACACCTAAAACACCTAACATACGCATGAAATGGATGACGGCATTTTATTTGTTACTAATAAATCTCACGATTAACTTTTTGACTGTTTTCAAAAGAATGGCTGGTCCCAAAATGTTGTCATTGTCCAGTGAACGGATAGACAGTCTACAGCAGGATATAGCAAGAATGGTTGGTCCCAAAATGTTGTCATTTTCCAGTGAACAAAAAGACAGTCTACAACATATAGCACACTTATATATCGTTTGGAAGTGAATTCAGCCCTCTATCTCACTTGGTATGTTAGATATCAGCTTAGACCATTTTACATACCGAAAATCGGGTAGTTTCAAATAATATAACCGTCATTGCATTACACGTGTTTAGACGCTGAATTGCCTGGCTGTGTGATTTAATTGCCTGTCCTGCGTTTTTAACCTTTTAAGGCTGATGCGTTTTAAGTTAGATACAACAAACTTGGAGTCGTGTCCAAAACGTGACATTTCGCCTAAAGCCATAAACCGGTTTAGGTCAGGTTGGCATACGTCACGTTAGGTTAGGTTTGGTTATGTAAGGTTACGTTAGTTTAGGATGGGTTAGGTTAGGTTAGGTTAAATGAGGTTAGGTACGGTAATGGTTATGGAAGTTAGGTTACGTCATGTTAGGGCAGGTTAGGGTATGTTAGGTGAGGTTAGGTCAGGCTACGTTACGTTAGGCAATGTTAGGTTTGGGTAGATTGGGTGAGGTTAGGTAAAGCTAGGTTAGATTAGGTTGAGTTAGGTTAGGTTACGTTAGGTTAAGTTAGGTTAAGTTAGATTAGTCCAGTTGGGGGACTTTCATCTTCACTGCTAAGTCAAACTAAGAATTAAAGTTTGTAACATCATTGCGTATCGTTTCCAAGTGGAAGCTGTTTTCAAGCGTAGCTGGTTTCCCATGCCAAACGTTGAAACTTTCCTCGGACAAAAAATGCTCCATGTTCGAGTTTTTGGAATCTGGTTGTAATATACGCCATTAGACGCATGATTCCACTGCCAGAAGGATGGTGTCAGTTTAAATTTTCTCACTTTCATGGTGTTGGAGTTAGATAAATAGAAATCTTCCTAACCCGCGCTCAACTTTGCAATTTTTCTGGAAAGTAGTTACATCCACAAAAACACTTGCTGCCTAAGAAACACACTAGGTGGGCTACGACCTTTTATGCCATATAAAAACATCTCAGTTTCGTATCTTTGAATTTTTGGAAAAACGCTAATTGTCAAATTTTTTCTCATCTCCTCGTGAACCAAAATATAATCAACAATATGTGTCATACTGTACATCACTTGGAGAAGAAATCAGTGTTCGATCTCAGTT